CTGGACAATTTCACATACAAGGATATTTTACCTTTCGGCAAATAGGAAATGGGCCTGAAATGGGCCTGAAATGGGCTTGAAATGGACATGGCAGCTATAGTTTCAGCAACCATAAAAGGTAATTTGTTACATACATTTTATGAGCGCCTTAATTATACCTGCTCGAGACATTTTAAGAGTATTTCAGGACTATCATCAGTTTTTTGGTCTGTTAAATTTCCGAATCTCCGAAAGCGCTTGTTCCTGATGTCCTGAAATGTATTACAAAGCCATCAGTAATGATGGCTTTCCCGGCAATTTCCGGGACACTCATATGACCAGTACAGCCTGCCTAACTGGGATGTTTCAGGTTTATTTCAAAGCGCGTGACAGACAGCCTTTTCTGACAAGAGAAATTGCCTCAAAAGTGACAGAAAAGTGAGCATTTCAGCACTCGGGAAAGTTGCTGGAAAGTCTCCCGAAATGTTACATTTCGGATGCCTTGTCTGGGACATTTCGGGCCCCCTGAAATCTGGGGATGCCCATAGTGTTACCTGCTGGAGCAACCCCGGCTCCGTTTCCTCAGCCGGATCTATGGCCAATCATCAACCCTGTCAACCAGCTGCGATGCCGCCATCTGGTCGCTGCCCCGCTGAGGGTGGGGCAATCGATTACAAGTTCGACGCCGCTCTACGTACAGGAGATGCCGAACCAGTCTCAGCTCCGTCTCATCAAGTACTCCTCGACGCTATGGTCCAATTTGAAGAGATACATCGATAACCTAGCCGACGGCGCGAGCCCGCCGGGTGTAGTCGTCCCTGATGCTAATCCTCCGCAACGGTTATGGACTTGGGCGCTACCTGGTATGTAGGCCATAGCTGGGGGCGTGCAGCAGAGGCGTGCTGTCACCTCCCTGAAAGCATGGTACGAGCGTCATATCACGAGGAATGCTGCGATTGCGGTCAACAGCGAGCCGAGTGTGCAAGACGAAGTGCGCACACAGATTCTGGATGCCGTCGACATAATCCTACAGGTACGTAGGTTTGAATGTCTTAGTCGAGATCCATGTTCTGATATGTGTATAATCTTTCAGACTCGCTATTTCAATCAAATACCTCTAAATGCTAACGGAACAGCTTCCCATCCGGGCTGGCCCGAAGAGGACAGACAGTGGGGCGGACACGCATTTTATCCCAAATGGATTCGCGCTGTACATGCAACTCATCTTGGAGGCGGTCCGCCTAACAGACGCAAGGGTGGCTTTCCGGATTTCCTCTTGGCCTCCCACGACGAACTGCCCAACCCAGCCGCAGTTTTTGAGGTTAAGTTCTGGTATGGCACTCCCGACAGGATTCTCACTGAGATGCGGATGGGATATCCACATGGCCAGTTCCCGTGGAATGAACAGTCAACAACAGGCAAGGTTCTCAAGCAGGTGAGTCCGTGGTGCGAACTCGCAAGCTAAACTCAGGCTCATCACGCGACACCAGATATGGGGTGAGATGATCTACCACAGGGCAACCCTTGGCGCAATAACGAACGGTCGGCTTGTAGCCGTTTACATGAAGACCGGACCCGACGAGATAACACTCTCGGACTGGCACCCTTGGGAGTCATCTGATATAGTGCACACCATTGCAGGACTCACCTGCCTCTCGATTGATTGGCCTATTCTATTGCAACACTTTCAGGAAAATGTCATCGTTGATGCGTTCTCTGCACCTCGCGTTGTTGGATTGGAGTAGCTCGCATGACTCCAGTCAGAGTACAGTGTACTGCTTGCGTCGTTGACAGTCGGATCGAATATTTCATGCTATTGTTTTGGGATATTACATTGCATGATGCCGGAGGTACGTCGTGTCAAGTCTCGCGGGAGAGAGCAAGTCGAATGCAAAGCCAGAAAAGGTCGTCGTCATGGGATTAAGCTCAGGCTTCTATCCTCTGCGTCTCTCTGTGTCCAACGACTGCACATTATTACGATTAGGTCCGCGAGAAAGCCCACTGTAAGAGATCTAAGTCTCGATACTACGGCCAGTCTGGCCCACTACACATCGCATGCGTTTAAACGAGACACCGTTCTCCCGAGCGCGTTCAAATCAACTAGTCCTCATTCATAGATGCAGTTGCAATTGTGGAATGAGCACACGAGCCCTGGCACACCCCGGAGAAGGTAGCGTACTAAAAATTCGTACATCTCACAGCGAGGTTCCAGATGCGGATTTGCATGTGAGCCAGGTCGGCGTAGATGGGTGGCACCATGACTCCTGACATCCTTTCCACATGTTTTGTCTGATGTCAGCAGACTGAGGCCGTAAGTGAGACCAGTACTGTGCACGACGAGTGAGACCAGTACTGTGCACGACGAGTGCGACCACTTACCACCAACAATAGAGAGTTCTCTGTTGCGAAGCGCCGCGATCGAATACCGCACATCGGCACACAGGCACAGCGGACGGCACATAGCGTCTATTTCCCGGACTTTCTGCCGCAGGGGCTCGGGCATAGGCGGGAGGCGCACCGCCTTGGCCACACCAGCAGCCGGTCCGGCCAAGACAATCGGAGCAGCGGAGGGGTAAGCGGAAGTAACAGAATTTGGGGCCGATCAGGGGCATGCGGTAGTGGGTATATAAAGGGCAGGCTTGAGAAATAAGGAGTAAGAAACCAGCTACTTACTTTCGGGCCCTGTGGTTAAAGATACGAGAAAAGATACGAGAAATACGAGAAATAGCACTTTGAAGTCAAACTTGCGATCGACTCTGCAGTGGAGGTCAATTAATGACTATAATGGCGATCGATTGTAAGTCAGGGGCTGGTTGAGGATTGGGTTGGCCATGGGATTGGTAGGCCTACCTTCCAAAGAGATTGTACATAAGACATTGCCTCAGGTGGTGCCAGCCGATCCCATGGCCAGATACTGAGAGTACTGACAGTGACTGTCCTGAATATTGCATCTCAAGCCTAACGACAAAATAGAGGGCTTACTAGATAGGGTCAAGACCAGGCGGAGAATACTGCATCAAACTCGCCATCATAGATAGAATTCTGTATGTTTTGGCCACCGGTTCTGTTATGTTGAATGATGGCCCATGCGTGTAGTGTGTTCGAGCCGAACTCCGGCCAGTCGGGCCTTGCAGTGCGCCACCATGATCCCCAGCCGGTAGTTAACTTAGAGTTGCGCCTTTCGGCCGCGCATGAGCTGTGAATATAACTTGTGTGAATAGTAGTACGACTCACACGAAACTTTCGTAGGGGGTATAGCCTGGTACTCGATGAGTTTATATGAATCGACATGGCTGTGGCTACAGGAGTCCCGCGGAGTGCCCGCCGGCTTCAAGTCGAACTCGACGCCGTGATGGTGCCAAGCCAGTCAGATCTTAAATTTGCGTGCGTGTGCTTTATTGGGAGTCAGAGATACGTGTAATTTTCAGATGCACTTGGTGTGAAGTCTTGCACTATATACATAAACTCATCGGCCAAAGTGTCTTGATGACTACTGCTTCGACGCAGGACGAATCGCCTGGGGAGCGGGCCACTTATCGAAGTGACCTGCAGACTTGTATATACGATTGTAGTCGGATCCATCGCCCTGAAGACTCCAAGCTCAGCAAAGCTCAGCAGGCGAGAGATATTTGTACTCACGAAGGGGGTGAAGGGGAAGCCTTTGTCGAATGGAACGATATCATCAAGGACCTTGATTTGCTCGGGGGTGAGAGAAATATCGAGCGCCTCCAAGTTTTGGTACATGTGTTCGATCTTGCGTCCGCCAATGATAGGGAAGACGTACGGGGCCTTTTGCATGACGTATGCGATGGCGACTACAACACGAGAAATTTGTCAGATAGCTAGCGACGACCAAGATTAGATACGCACCAGAGGTGAGGCTCTTTGCACCAATGTCCGCGGCGACTTTCTCGAGAGCCGAGCAGACCTGTCGCTGATCCTCGGTACGCTTCCAATCACTGTATAGCGTGCGACCACCCTCGCCTGACTCGAGGCGACGTTGCTCTTCCGCATCTGTGCGAATCTTGCCGCCGGCAAGGACATTCCAGGGCGCCAGCGCCATACCTGAATTGGTAATCAGACGAGGCACATTCCTCGAGCTCGAGCCGCATACCTTCTTGGACAGCCATAGGCAAAATGTCGCGCTCGAAATCGCGTTGCATGATGTTCCACGCTCCTTGATAGATGGAGAATGGCGTCTTGCCAGTCAAGCGCGCATAGGTGTTAGCCTTTGAGACGATCCAGGCAGGCGTATCGGAGACACCAAGGTAGAGCACCTTGCCCTGTACGACAAGATTGTGCAGGCCGTTCATGACCTCTTCGACGCTGGTGGTGTAATCCCACCAGTGCACGTAAAAGATGTCGACGTAGTCCGTGTGTAGCTTCTTAAGCGACGCGTTCAAGGAGTTGTGCATCGACTTGAGGCTGTTGCCGATGTACTGAGTCTTCTGAGAAATCTCGCTGAATGGAGCGGCGCGCTTGTAATTGGTCGAGTACTATGATATGATTCAGCCACAAGAACTCCTACCGGTGCGAGAAACGATGGACCTTGGTGGCGAGAACGATCTGTTCGCGGTTGTCGCGCTTTTCCATCCATTCTCCGATGAAAAGCTCGGATGTCTCATCTTGACTACGTGGGTGTCAGCTCTTTAATATAGCATGATAAAGATGCGGTAGCTTACTAGCCGTTGGCTGTATCAATGAAGTTGCCACCGGCGTCGAAGAATGCGTCAAGCAGCTTAAAACTGCTCTCCTTGTCCATCGTGCCCATGCCGTACTGTTGCCACTTGTCGCCAATGCTCATGGCACCGAGCTGGATAGGTGAGACATGCACGCCCGCCAGAGGTGCCAGCTGCCGGTGGCGGCCGAGCTTGGTGGAAGGCTCAGGAGGGGTTGACCAGATACCACTCATAGTGCGTGAGGAATCGAGTTGAGATGTGTGGAGGAACTAGCTCTGTGGCCAGCATAGTGAATATCTACGTGTCTTATATACTGCAAACCGCGGACTCTGGCTGAATAAGAAGGCATACACATGACGAAAGGCCCTGTTTACTCACCGTTAGTCCGATTCTCAGGGCCTCAGATTTTGAATTTCTATATCGCGAGCCGTGCGCATGACGTGGTAAAAGACGATAGTCGCCAATGCATATGGTAAGTGCTGTCTCTAGAAGGGACAACTGACGCACCCGCTTGCGAATCCGGCTCTGGTGAGTGGTTCGAGAACAATGCCGGTGAGCGTACGCGTCCGGCAGTAGATAAACGAGTGCGTCAGCGACGGGATGCGCACGAAGAGTACGCGGCTTGCGGCTTGAACGGAGTTGGACGGAATTGCCTCTGACCTGAAGCTACTTACTAAACTCGAAATAACGATGCGTGTTCCACAAGAACGTTATCGAGCCGAGGCCGTCGCCGTCCGTGATCGCGAAGGCGGCACCGGAATATAATACCGCACAGCATTGCTGCCCCGACAAATCGAGGGCTTGACTCGCACCAGGCTACCCAATAGCGGCCGTAATGCTCAAGCTTGAGACGTTTAACAAGGGCAGCGTCCAGAGAACAGAGTCCACAGCGAGCCACAAGGCCATCTGATGCATAGAAGTAAGTTATCGCGAATCCCTTCCACGGCATGACCTTTACCACGAGCGCGGGAAGCTGTAGCAAGCGGGAACAACGAAGATCGATGAATACACGAACATATAGGAAAGCCCTCTAATGGTGCAGCACTCGCGATTCAGCACGGTGGCTTCGAATGCACATTGTATAGTCTTAACCACTCTCCTCTTCGAAATGGACAGGTATAGGGCAGTCGTGCAAACACATAATGCCACTTACCTTCGACCTCTGCTCACAGTCTCGACATCACGATGACCAGGGGTCAACGCTTCCGGGATCAATTGTAATTACCAATAGTCAGCCTATTTGCCGAACTATTTCTATAACGAGCTAATCTGTCACGAATTGCTAGCTAATTAATCCTAACATCTCCAAATTCGGGTTGTTTAGGCCTGGATAACCGCTGCTTCTCCGAGCTGAACGACTTGGACCTGGACAACTCGACCTCTCGATGCCAACTGAGGGCGGCACCGTGTTTCTTGTACAATTAGTGCTGTATCCGTAGCGCAGCAGTCCATCGCCCCAGAATCAACTCGCACCTTAACACCGAACTTCCAAGTACTGAGTAAGCACCAACGCAATGCCACCATCCGCGGCCGCCCCGCCCACCCAGCGGACGACGAGTTTCAGCTCAGATAAACCTGCGTTAATCCAGCGGAGAGCAGAAGACGAAGAGTTGAGACCGTACGTTATTGTGAGCGATCTGGGTAAAGGCAGCTTCGCAACCGTCTATCGTGGATATCATGAGGTCCGTGCTGAACTGCCCAGACGCTGCGCTTCGTTATAATGCTCAACACGGTTTTGTAGGAAACGAATCAAGCTGTAGCAGTCAAGACTGTGAATCGAAGTGGGCTTAGCCACAAACTGCTTGAGAACCTGCAGGGGGAGATAGACATTCTCAAGGCTCTGCATCACAGACATATAACACGGCTACTCGACATTGTGGTACGTGCCTTTCGACTTTGTACAGCGACTCGTTCCGTTTGACACGTCACCTGTAGCAAGGTGAACGCAACATCTACCTCATAATAGAGTTCTGCGCGGGCGGAGATCTCTCCAATTATATCAAGAAGCGCGGCCGTGTCGAGGGCCTTGAATATGTGCCATCCCCTGGTGTAGCACCAATATACTACCAGCATCCAAAAACTGGAGGTTTGGATGAGATTGTTGTACGCAGCTTTCTTCGGCAGCTGGGTGCGTATTACACTGTTTGGCTATCAATTGCCCCATTGACTTCTTACAGCCCGCGCCCTCAAGTTCCTGCGGAAGCGAAACTTGATTCACCGGGACTTGAAGCCACAGGCAAGCATTGTACAATTTCTCCAGAGATAGCCATTTATACTGTTGTAGAATTTGTTGTTGAACCCCGCTTCCGAAGCAGACCTAGCGAATGGGCATCCGCTAGGAGTTCCAATACTCAAGGTCGCCGACTTTGGTTTCGCCCGCTCGCTTGGAGATAAGATGATGGCGGAGACGCTTTGTGGTTCTCCGTAAGTGCCTTTATTTATATTCAACTTCCCTACCCGAGTTCATCTACATAGATTATATATGGCACCCGAGATCTTGCGATACGAGAAATACGACGCGAAGGCAGACTTGTGGTCAGTTGGTGCGGTGTTATATGAAATGGCAGTCGGACGACCGCCGTTTCGTGCGCAAAATCACATTGAACTCCTGAAGAAAATTGAGAATTCGAAAGGCGTCGTGTTCCCCGACGAGGATCCGCAGGCAGTTGTCCGTGCAACAGACCGTGGCGAACAAATCACTCCGGTACCACCAGACGTAAAGAAGCTCATTCGTGGCTTGCTCAAGCGACTTCCTGCGGAGCGGCTGTCCTTTGAGGACTTCTTCGGCAGCACCGCAATGGAAAAGTCAAAGTTCCCGAGACCCACGCGAGACGCGCCTCCTCCTCCACCCGCCGAAGAGTACGAGGCACCTGCTGGGCCACACGAGATCCCTGAGCACCATCGGATAATACCACCAGAAGTTTTGGACCCGAAGGCTATGATTCCGCCAAGTAAATTCACCTTTCGGAGGCGAGACTCGGGAATGGGCGAGAGGTAAGCCATCCGTTTTCGGCGATGTTTCGATCTGTGCTTGAGCGCTACCTCCATAGTTCCTCACCGCATCCATCGAGAGATAGTCGTCAATCGCCCGCACAGAGCCCCCCATCACGACTCGCGCCTCTGGCTACTGAGGGTTCAGACATCCCCGGAGAGACCGAAGAAGACGGCTTGCTGAGGCGTGAGTATGTTTTGGTCGACGACCGGAACGCCGTCGAAGTGCATCGTGCATATGATGGTTTGTCTCGCATTTTCCATACTCCTTACATGTACTGATATCAACACTCAGAGATTCAATCCGCTCGCAAGCGACCTCTGCGGGACCGGAAGACTCCACAATCTCCCGCGGACGATACCCTGCCAGCTCCGTTTCCGACGTACGGGTCAACCGACTCACCGTCCCCGATAAGCTTTCCGCCTCCTCCAAATCCCAACGCCCCGCCTTCGTCCGGCTCACCTTCAAGCCTCGGAGCCCGTACTAACGCTCTGACACGCGCTTTGAATGCGGCCTCGAAGAAGCTCTTTGGCCCGTCGACGTCGCCGTTGACCGCGCACTACGGAGGCTACACGTCCTCGTCGCCGCGGCGGCAGCAAATAATCTCTTCGGGCGGCGCAGGGCTCGGTCTAGACATCGACGGAGTGCGCGACCCCCAGGAAGACGCGCTGCTGGAGTCGCTCGAGGAGCTTGCGCAGAAGACGGAAGTCTTGACTCGCTGGGCAGACGAGATGTTTGATTACGTCAAGAAGGTGCCGCAGAGTAAGCTTCGTACCCCCGAGCTGCCTGTGTTCGGTATGCTGACTGCGCACAGAGCCCTTGCCAGACCCCGAGAAGTTCGAGCGTCGAGAAGGCGAACCCGAGAGGCTCGCCGCTCGCCGGAAGAATGCCGACTACCAGGCGCAGTACAACGCTGTCACCTGTGTGGCGCTATACATGCTCCTCATGTCTTTCGGCCAGAAAGGCATCGACAAGCTGCGAAACTTCCACGAGCACATGCAAATGCGGGACCCGGATGGGGAGTATGAGGTCAGCGAGGGCTTTGACGAAGGTTCGTCTTTCTTTCAAACGGCATGTGAGCGGCGACTAACAGATTTTGCAGCGTTAACGTGGTTCAAGGACCAATTCATCAAATGTCATGATCGAGCAGCGTTGGTTAAGACCTGGCTGCCCGCACAGTACTCTGGCCCGCCAACGTTCCTGGACCAGCTAGTATACGACCGGGCACTTCACTTGGTATGTTTGGTATGTGCGCGCTTCGCAGGAACCAACTCTGATGAATCCTGCAGAGTCGGGCCGCGGCTCGGAAAGAATTATTGGACCAGGCCAATAGTCCAGACGAGTGCGAGAAGCTCTACGAGGAATCGCTCTGGTGCCTGTATGCACTGCAAGACGATCTTCTACAGACCGACAATCCATTCATGGAAGAGGACCGTACCACAATACAGACTTGTAAGTTGTCATTAGAGTTCGTTGACTGAACCATAAGAGGCTGACTTAGCTGTCTGATAGGGATCAAGCGAACTAAGCTTCGACTCGTTCGTTGTCGCGTCCGCATGGGCATGAACGATAGAGAGCGCCTGAAAGATGCGCGCATGGACAAGAACCTTGACGACGTCATGCATGACCCGGCACCTTGGGATATTGCACGAAACGAGCCCCCACGGCGCGACGCAGTGTCCCAGCCTTCGTCGCTGCCCCGTTCATGATATCAGCATCCTGAACAATTCCCACTAACTTCTTACCACTTAGACTTGACTTTTCCACCACTGTACTCTTCTGCTTTCCATATTCACTATCCTCATCGCATTGGTATGTCTCTGGCTCGTAGTTGAGCGAAATGGACCGCATACCATTCGATGTATATTTCATATCTAATATGTACAGGCTACGTACTACTCCGGCATTATTTATAGTACTCCATCATCTTCACTTTCTTTCGTTATATCATGTACTTTTATTGCTTTGATCCGCTTTGCACGCTGTACTATAAATCTCCAGGCTCTCAATCGCATCTCGTTCATTCCGGAGTTACCTGGGCGCTTGAAGTGCTAAGCTTTCCTTTTAGCATGGAACTCTATGCTCTTTGCCAAGCTCGCACTCAGATCGTGTGGTGCAGCTTGTAGGTGTCGTCGTGGATACAGCGACTTGTGCTATACTGACAGTCTTGACGCAGCGATCCGCATATTCAACCAAGCTTTGGTTGACTCCCCAAGTTTGCTCCCACGTGCCAAGACAACACGCCTGTTGCCCATTGCTGGAGTTATGTCGGGCCCTGCGCTAAGCCCTGTGCACTTCCTTGCTGTGTCGAAGGCGAAATACCTGAAGGATGTAGAGGGTGAGAGGGGCAAGGACTGGGTGGTGGTCATGGGTAACGAGGCAGGCGGTAAGGCAACTTTCCTTATACTCGCTTCGAGTGCTGATCCTTTATAGACCTCGACTCGCTCGCCAGTGCTATAGCGTACGCTTGGTACAGAAGTGCTATAAAGCAGGATGCAGCCATTCCTCTTGTTCAGACCCCTCGTGCCGATCTATCTCTTCGCACAGAGAACCTCTATGCCCTCGAGCTTGCGGGACTGAACGCGTCCACTCAGGATCTATTATGCATCGATGACGTCCCCGCCTCGTCTCCGTTCCCGTCTGTTAAGTTTGCCCTTGTCGATCACAACCATCTGCAGAGTCGTTTCACGGAGGGCAACCCTGAGGCACGCGTAGTCGCCGTTCTTGACCACCACGAAGACGAAGGGCATCATACGGATGCAGACCCCCGTATCATCGTCGTCCCCACGGGCAGCGCTGCATCCCTTGTTACACGTTTGCTCTCGGAGCAGTGTCCTGATGCTGTCCCGAAGGGCCTCCTCACCTTACTTCTCTGTGCTATTGTAGTCGACACGAATGGACTGAAGCCCGGCGGCAAAGCCGAGAAGATCGACCGTGAGGCGGCTGCTTTCCTGGCGCCACGTTCATTGCTTTTCTCCCCTGATAGCCTCGCCATCTCTGATCTACATGAGGATCCACGCTTACAAGAACTCCTGGCTACGCTACAGTCTAAGAAGGGGGATGTCTCTCATCTCGGCACCCGAGACCTGCTTCGACGAGACTACAAGGAATACTCCTTTGTCCCATCCCGGCTCCTGAACAAGACAGTTCTGGTCGGGTTATCGTCTGTGCCCGTCGGACTTCACCCTTGGATATCGACAGACAAGTCGTTCTGGTCTTCTACGGAGCAGTGGATGGCCGACCGCAACCTCTCGGTTCTCGGTATCCTGACGTCTTTCAGAGACGAGAAGAAGCTCAATAAGCACGGAAAGCCCAAACACCGACGCGAACAGCTGTTTGTCGTCCGCGAAGACGTTGGGGACCTCGCTGAGCGTCTGTTCAAAGGGCTCAAAAGTTCGGAGGAGCTGGACCTGAAGAAGAGGTCGTTGGCAGAAGATTACAACGCAGAGGTGCCATCGTCGTTTGCAAAGAGGTACAAGGCGAAAGTATGGGAACAGGGCAACAACGACGCTACGCGGAAAGTGACTGCTCCGCTGGTCAAGCGAATCATAGAGGGTTGAGGACATTACTCCCGATCAGTGGCTTCCTGCTATCCATATCCCCATTTCATGTATTTATGCCGATCTACCGCTCCCGGGTTGAAGGAATTGTGAGTCCATCACTGAGCCTTCTACGCGGTAGAGGAAGTTAACGAGTGGTACTGGGTTGTAGATGCTCTTTAGGCCCCAGGAATCAATTATGAGCCCTTCTAGATCATGCAAACCCGCAAGGTGCGTTGGTGCGCTACGATGATTCGCGCGTAGCACAGTGCGCGAAGCCTCGCGAGAGTTCGGGTTGTGCTCTAAGCATCTCGTTTCGACGTGCTCAGAAGCTGTACAGTCGGGACAGACGCCGGCGGGGCGAGAATTGCCGCATGCAGCGAGCGCATCAATTGGGACACCGGGATGACCTCCTAGCGAGACATATCCACTGTCATTATGAGCCGCCCGTAGCTGCCTAACGCGCCTCTCTAAACTCGATATTTACTAGGCTTCCAACATCATCGCCTCCGTGGCTCTTCGAGGGTACGTAGGTGGCAGCGTACAGTGCACCGTAGTGCTATTCCAACGAGCTTCAGGCATCCGCAATCGACGCATACTTTGCTCCAAGAACACTTTTGAGCTGAAGGGAAAACTTTCACCGCCTCGTCCGCCCGTGAACCTGCCGCTCACAGGAAACTTGAAGCTCCCTTTGCTACTGGGCCCCAGATTGGGCACCGGCAGCTCCGGACTGATTTTTGAGGCTCAAATCGATCCTGATGGCACCAGCCCCTGCCTATTGTCCACACTTCCCCCTCTTGCGGCCAAGGTGTCCTACCGCGGACGTCGTGCGGCTTCAGCTCACGAGGCCTATTACTACGACACCTTACAGCCGCTCCAGGGGATATCGATTGCTCGTTTCTACGGTCACTTCCTCGCGGAACTCCCCTCGGATATTTCTCTACTGTACTCGCCGGAAGGTGATGGACGGGAGGAGGGTATTGACAACTCGTACTTTCCCGGTACTACTGGGAAAGACGACGAGGACTGCGACAAAGACTGCGACGAAGACTGCGACAAAGACCACAACGAAGGCTACGACGACGGAGGATATGAGGACGATCCCGTAGACTCGGACATCGAGGAAATCGCTGAGACTTCCGATTCAGTGTCGATCCTAGTCATGGAGCGCCTAGGGGACCTTCTGCCCGTCGGAGAACCTCTTTCCGACTCGCTAAAGTGTGCCGACCTTGATTTCGCCGCTTGATACATTCTGACGCCCAATACACACCCATAGGCAAGACGCGTACGATATCTACGACGACCTGGCGCACATGCACATTTGGCCGAGGGACGTCAGGTACGCGAATATCCTGAGCGCACCTCCGTCTGTCCCGGGACTACCAAGTGTGATTTGTCCCATACATAACCGCGCACACACCTGGCGCGTCGTCGACTTCGAACATGCTGTGGAGACGAACGTCTCGCTCGAAGCTCACGCGATGTGGGCTAAAGGCTATCTTTTGAACATACTAATTTACCTCCCTCGTGGATATTGGATCGACCCTGAGGATTGTGGACTGTACATAGACTTCACATGACGTGACGCTCTCTTCCTTACTCGCTACACTCTTATCCCGCGTTACCTAAGGGCCCCGGTGCGGGCGCGAAGCAACATGAGGACGGGCACCCGGGGTGTGCGCTCCAAAGCCGACTCCACGACGGCGAGCCGTTGCCAGCATTCACGCAATACCATGCAGCTACCGAACCCACGACCCGTTCTCAGCATCCTCTGCTTGCTGAGACAATATTGCAGTAATATAGCTCTATAGTGTTGATACGACTCGGACGACGTTCTCATCCGTTTAAGCCATTTCTGGCTCTAGCAACCTCAACAAATAACAATTATAGTAGGAATCAATACTGGCTGGTGCAAGTACACCGTCCAGCTCGATCGAAATAGCCACTTTGGAATACATGTTCCGTGCTCCATACAGGGATATAGCTACTGAGCAGACTGAAGACGAGTCTCCCAGTCTCATACCTATCAATAAGTCCAGTCCCGCCATCTCGCGGCGACTTCGGCACACGGCTCCATTAGCGTCCTGCTTTCTTTTGTTGACTGCGGTCTTCGAACTACCGGACATACAATGCACAGAAATATCTTTCGCAACCTTTCCCCCCGAATTTCGAAAGAAGCACAGTGTTGTGCGCGACGGACATCCGAGGAACGCTAGACCTGCAGCCCGATGGACACCCGGAGGGAAGGAGGCACTTTTGACGACAGATAGCAGACGACCATCGCGTCGTGGAGAGCCGAATTCAATAATATCTGGCGCCAGGCAGTGCGCGGAAGGCCTCGGCGTTCAACTTGAGCTTGAACGCCTGCAGCGGACACACTTTGCGCGATCCAGAGCTCATGCCGACATTTCCTCCATGCACTCCGCTGCCAGTGCTGGAGGGACGCTGGTGCAGATAACCTGGCTGCTAAGCGCAGTCACGGAGAGCCGTGGGCCCTTGTGGCGTCTGCTGATGTCGACGTCATGGGTTACCTTCACGGTGGATATATAGCGAACGCGTGCAGGAGTGGTGATGTAGCAACAACTTCGCTTGTCTTGGCACATTCCTCTGGGAATAGTAGAAGCCTTAGTCGACATGGATCCCACCAACAAGCCCAAAGGACCCTCTCCTCACTACTCCCTCTACCAGCGCGAAGTCTTCAGGCGCGGTGGAGAGGAAGGAATGCGTGATTCTCCGCGATTGTTTATGAAAACGTGTCTTGCTAACTCTCTGGATGCGTTGCAGTCCCTAGTTTCTCTGTTCATCCCGAGGAATTGCAGGAATCCACCAAGAAGAAATTAAACGATCGCGGATACTTCTACGCGAACTCCAACGCTGGTCTGGGCTGGACAGATCGCGCCAACCGCGAGGCATTTTACAAGTGGCGCATTGTGCCCAGGACTTGTGTTGACACCAGCACGCGAGACCTCACTAGTAGGTGGAACTCTCTCTCGACGCTCTCAAGCTAGCTAATGCTCCGTCTCCAGCAACCATCTTTGGCCACAAAATCCCCGCGCCTATCATGTTCGCCCCCATTGGCATCAACAAGCTCTACTCTTCCAATGGTGAGCTGGTCCCGGCCACCATCGCAGGAGAGCTTGGCCTTCCGTACTGCCTGTCGACAGCGGCCTCACAGCCCATCGAGGCTGTTGCCGCCGCCAACGATAAGGCAGCCTCAGTGCGCAACGAGAGCAATAGTGTCCACCAGTATAGCGGTAGGTGCACATTGTGCCTGGCGGTTACCTGGGGTTTGACATGCCTGGTCCAGGGACGAACGGCGGCAATGCAAAAAGCCCCCGGTTCTTCCAGCTGTACATGGGCCACGACGACGAAATCACGCTTTCCCTGCTCAACCGCGCTTGGGATGCTGGCTTCGACGTCCTGATGCTCACCACCGACACCTGGCAGCTCGGCTGGCGACCGACAGACATTAACATCGCGAACTACGTGTAAGCACGCCCTTCGTACTGTTTGGGCACTCCAATGACCGAGGGTGTACCGACAGCTTCTACTACGGCGGAACGGTCGGAAACGAGGTCGGCATGTCGGACCCCGTCTTCATGAAGAAACATAGCAAGGAGCTCGAGCAGGACTCCGGCAAGTGGATCGACTCCAGCGTGTGGCACGGCAAGCCACACACCTGGGAGAAGATCAAGTGGCTGATCAAGCAGGTACGCTTGCACCCCTTCACACGCGCTTACGGCACCCCGTGCTGACCAACTCTGTGAACAGTGGAAACACATCTCCGGCGGCCGCCCGTTCGTCATCAAGGGCATCCAGAACGCCGCAGATGCACGGATGGCACATGAAGTCGGCTGCGAGGGCATCGTCGTGACGAATCATGCCGGCCGTCAGGTCGACGGCGCCGTCGGAAGCCTGGAGGTCCTCCCTGAAATCGTCGAGGCTGTCGGTGACAGTGGGTTCCTTTTTTATTCATTAACGAGCGAAGGGCTCCATGGCTGATCGCTGTCCAGAGATGACCATCATCTTCGACTCCGGTATCCGCACAGGCCCTGACGTCTTCAAGGCCATCGCGCTCGGCGCGCATGCCGTCATGGTCGGCAGGCTCTACGTCTGGGGCATGTCTCACGAGGCAGAGGCCGGTTGCCGGCACGTCATCAAGAGCCTGCTCGCGGTACCTTTGCATCAAGTCCACTGCTGTCGCGTTTGGCTGACGAGAGCATATGCAGGATTTGGATATCACGATGACTGTCGCCGGGTACCGCAGCATCCGCGAGGACGTCTTCCGCAACAAGGACGCCCTCAGGTACAACCCGTACGGAGTGCCGCCGGCCAAGGACGACCATGCAAAGCTGTGACTTGCCAACGCGCCCTCTGCACCGTGTTCACACAGATAATCTTGTTGTACAATATCCTAATGCGCCCGCCTAGACAATAGGATGGTTGCCCTTTTTGATATGTCGAGTCTGCTTTGGTGCTTTTATGTTCAGCATCTGGCTTGCATGGTACTTAAGTGAAATGAGAACAATGTCGACCGATACTTACCTTGATGTGATGCAGCACTCCCGCTGAATACCGGGGAACACATGCTTCACCTCTCTGTAGCGCTACAATATAGCAAAGATATAGCTTGATGTGGCTGCGAAAGCCGTGAGCCGTCTTCTAAGTATCGATGAGATATACCCTTGAGTCTTGAAAGCCGGCGTTGCAGCAGCTCTTAAATGAATGCATAGCACATTGGCCGAACAGTTTACACCATAATTTTGGTGGCGAGCACGAGAGCAGGTCTCAAATATTACTCGTATCATTAACCAGATGGCCTGAAAGTAAGTAAATGGTTCCTTACTATTTGCTAACCCCTTACATGCCCTGTTCCCAACCTTGCCCTTTATATACCCAGCGCTGCAGAGCGCTGCATGCTCCCGATCGATCCTGTTACTTCCGCTTACCCCACCCACGTTAGCACTCGTTTCACCGTGCTAGTCGCCTGTGCCCGAGCCGCCGCTGGCGGCAAGAATCAGAAGGTTGCTCACGGACTTTTTAAACAAACACATATGTAAGTTTATATTTTCCGGAGAGTCACGAGAATGCTACATGAGTGAGCACATGCCTACCGCGAAAAACGCCAACCGTGAGAACAGCAGCCACCAGAACAACTACCGGGAGAATATTTATCGCGTAGCGGAGCGAAGCCGTGTCTTGTGTATGAGCAACAGTTGTCCATCCATTCGGAATGCACTAGTGTAACTATTCGAACTGAGACCACAGATAAAAGTCAAGGCAGAACAAGGGAAGAGAATTCTCGTAGCACACACGACGCGTGCTTCACAACGTAGATAATGTATATATAGGTCCATAAAGCGTTTTTAAATGTCAGGTCACGCCCGATCAAAGGAGCAAGCATCGGAAGGACGTTTACGTCTGAGGAACACCGAGCACGTTTGCACCGAATTCCTGAGCTTTGAGCTGGAAGAGTGTGGCCTCTCCATCGAAGCTGGGGTTGAGCACGAAGACCATGCCTTGGCCGCAATGAGCGGAGTCGGTGCCCTCGTCCTGGCGGCAGTGGAAGTACACGGTGTCCTGGCGGAAAAGAAAACAGGATTAGCATGCGATTTGCAGCTTTAACAAATGAAAGTACCATACCGTGCTGTTAACGATATAGTGGAAAACCGGCAAGTTCGTGGTCTGGTTGACTGCATTGGGCATGCTGCACAAAGCGGGTGAGGAGAGGGCTAGGCGGCAGACAGTGTAGACACTCACAAGCCAGAGTCGGTGCCATTCACTTTGTTCGTGCAGGGAGCATAGAACGATTGGGACTGCGTCGCCGAGTGATTCTTCGCAAGGAACGTGAAATCGATGCTGTCACCGACTTCGGCGTGCTGCAAAGAGGGTTGAGAATCACAATGAGAATACGGTGTGGAACTACTTACCACAAAAAGTGGGGTATACCTCAGGCGGGTGCCGTCTGGGCTACCGAGGTGCACAGTATGGTTAACGTTGAAGATACTGGACTGGGCAGCCACGGTGTTGGCAATAAGGGCAGCAGCGGCAAAAGCGACGAAGGTAGTGAAGTACATTATAGCACTAGGAGGCGAATGGATGGATAGATAAAAAACTGGAAGAGTAGAATAGGTCGAACTGACACGGGCCTCAGCAAGATAATGGCCCGTACTTATACGTCGGCTGTGCAGTGACAGTGAAACGTCAGATCCGCGCTTCGACTCAAACAGCGGACGTAACAAGACATGCCCCGACAGAAGCATGGTGTTTGACCTCGATCAATCTGATGTTTCCAAGTTCCGAGGCACTTTAGCGGCTGGTGAGGAAATACCTCATATCTGTGTTCTTCTGCTCAGCAGGCTGCGGAGACGGAAAGACTGCATGTAATAAATACTCATAGGTCTAGCCCCATGCATCGACACTATGTCATTCCACATGAAGTCGCTATTTTGCATATATCCAGGTCGAAACACGATCTGGCCAAGGTGTCCCCGCCGGCAGCGAGGAGCAGTCTTCCTTGTCGGGACACGGAAGGCGGTATGGCGGTAGGGAATACCAACCCGGGCTGACCGAAGTGTCGGTGGGGCCGACCGCCACCCGCCCTCAAGCCTCAAGGTGGTGTGTCTTCCGAGTCATTTGAAGCAAGCCTCTGGCCGGAGCTTCCCAAAGTTGTTTTTGCGCCTGGAGCATGGCAAAATTTGTAGCACTGCATGGAAGGGCTCTACCGCTTTCAAAAGCTGCGTTTGCCATGCTCGGCTTGCGCGAAGATCCGGACCAAGATCGCCTCACAGTCTCCTGAGGATATGGGCGTGTACCGGGTACCTCTTGGATTGAGAATGTCTCAGAACATACCGTTGGTTTGGGTCCTGCAAAACGCAGTTATTCGGGATGAGCAATTATTGAATGTAAGAGACGTATATGGGAGCCGTGGCACTAAGAGGTCCTGAGGTACGTATGCACATTAGTAGTAGTAAGCCTGAGCTGAGTAAAAGCATTCACATTGTTGGTGTCACGGGAATGCGCTGGCCCGAAAAGGGTAACTGTACGCTTGTTCCAAGACTCGCTGCCAGCCAGTGTACCTAGGGGGGCAGTGCCGCGAGCCCTGAGCCCTGAGCTTCCGCGGACCTACTGCGAGACTGCGCAGGAAGTTAGCTAGTCATGCAGCGCGATTCACCTTCGGAAGTGGAAGTAATTAATGAGATGTAACGTGTGCGAATGATCGCCGGACGTTTGACATCAGCCCGACGACAACCAGATGTATCACCGCCATAAATGACAGGCGTCAGCGAGCTGGGTGAGCGCCGTACAGGAACATAGAAAGTAGCAGATTCATACCAAGACTGTTCACTCACGCCTAGACCTGGCTGGCTTCAAGTGTGGAGAGATTCGCTGGCACAACAGCCCACGGATGTGATAGCCATTGGTCAGACGCACGACAGATAGAGCTGACGTAGCCCGAGAGCGCCAACCTCGTCAGCCCGGGAGGAAACTGGAGGAACCAAATCTTCAAACACAACCAAAGAAAAACCATACACGCGAAATTAATCAGAGAAGATGGCGAAGGCGATGAGACAGGGCAATCGGGGAAGACTGAGGACCAGCGCGCCGAGAACGCCTTGTCAACCGCTTATACTGTCCCAAAAACAGGCCATCCGACCGAATATAAACTCGTGACCAGTCTACTCGGTAGTTGGTGGGACGCGTACGGAGGGTGGTCGGGTGGTCGGTACGCTGGAATGGCTACCTATTGAGTCTAGAACAGATCGAAGTGTATGCCATAGCAGCGCCGGCGCCGTTGAGTAACACCGGCGGAACCCGGCAATAGCATAGAAGGCATCTTCCCGAGAAAACAGTGCGCTGGAACAGCCGCTCTGTGACAAGAGTGGGGTTTCAAGGGCCGACACCGCAGGACGTGTGGGCACCATCCGCAGACTCGCAGTAGGTTGGATGAGGCAGAAATACCATCCGAGTCCGAGTGCTGGCGGGAAGACTGTCGTACACCGCCAACTTGCACTCAGAGGCCAGACAGGCGGGAGCTCCGGAGAGGAGCCAAGCGTGCATGCGGGCGCATTAAGGACCCATGACAATTGGTGGGAGGGCCTGAGGACAATCCGTACCCAAAACAGCCATCGAGAGCTCTGAGGAATCCTCCATACTGTACGAGTTTGAATGGGAGCAACCAACCCCGAGGTGTGACATCCAAGCCAGCATCTGCGCGAGCAACGGCGGGCGCTAAATTACCAAAAACAGTACTTTTTTTGGAGATTTGTCGTTGAATTTATCTCAATTTTGGCCCAGATTCGGTGCAAAGTTCTGTGACAAGATCCAGAAATTACAACCCTTGCAGAGGACTGTGACGCGTGACGTTGCTCCCATTCAAACTTGTACAGTACCGGCCAACAAAAAATGACTATGTACATAGACAAGCACAAAGCTACGCAAGGACACATAGCAAAAGAGATACAACAGACCAACAGGGCAGGGAGGGAGGGAGGGAGACAAAAAAACTGATCCTAAGAGTAGCCGAGATGAGAGACGAGAAGGAGTGCGCTGCACTCCTAACTGTCTCGCGTTCTGCGTACTCCTCGAAGAGGGGTCTCACTCGGCACACGCCGTCTGCCACTCACGTCAGTGGCAGCGTGACCGAGACCTCTTCCGGTTGGGTGTCCGCTGGACATTCCCGCGCTGCGGGTAAGAGCCCTGACGCTGTCCGGGCGTGTACACCCGAAGCAAGGGCAACTAGATTAGCCTAGTGTAAAGAATCTTTAAACACAGAACAAAAATGACTAATGTCTGAGGACAATCCATACCCGGTAGTCTGGACAAGTGTCGGAGTCCTTCCGGGTTAATCATCCAGCTTTAGATCCAATACTACCTAAATTGAGTGGATTTGTCACAATCTCGTGCACATCGTGGCGCCGCCGAGCTTCTCCATCAGCCTCTGTAGTGTACGCCTTAGATTGGGAATTAAGAACAATAGAGACAAAGACCGAGAGCATGAAGATATTTTGAAGGCCAAAGATAATTAATGCATCTGTACATAGCCTCTGAAGTATGACCCAGCTGTATTAACTGGTCAACCTGCTGACCACCGGCAGGCGGTGGCAGCGGCGGCACCCAGGCCAAGTCTGCTTCTGCTGTTGGTGCAGCAACCCCTGACTGCACCTCTTTGTGCCGCGAGTTGCAGGCGCTCTTATCAATGTACAAACAGTGCATTCAGCCAGTCTGACCAGCTCTCGTGAACACATACTAACAGACCAATAAGCCTACAGTAAGCAAGATGATCAAGTGTTAATAACCCATAAACCTATCATCCTGCACCCAAAACGACAAGGTTTGAAGGTAAGTGTCACCCAGTGTGTTAGGCGCGCCGTTGCATCTAAGCGTCATTGTCCATCAAGGTCCAGCATGCTCCGGGACCACCAGGAGTAAGTGCCTTTATCCGCACCTTTGAGTGTTTCCTGATGTATCATTAGTCTGTGGCAGATGGATGACACAAGAGGCAGTGTTATAACCGCTGCTAGGCCAGGAGCATCTGGGAGACAACATCTACAGGGTGCGATTGATGGGCAGAGGACATGAGGACCGGAGAGCACATGACTGAATACCATACTTTGGTTCAGACCAATCAACGCTCAAACTCACTGTAGACCACAGCGGTGACGAAGAGTGGCGCAGATAACCAGTCGCCACAACCTTCCTAACGCGGGTGCTTACGTAACTGCATTTTAGTGCGGAGATTCAAAATCTGTCTCGAGTAGGCAATGACTGTACAGTAGCAATCTTCTCATCGCCGCCGACGTCCTCAAGCTCGCCTACCTCAAGACAATATGGGAAAAGGTCACTCTTTCACGTCGTTGTGTTCAGCGAGCTTTCGCTCAAATCTGTCTTGCGATTCCGCGATGTAGTTCACGGCTCCCTTGCCCGTGCTGGTAAAGTCAAGTCCCAGACCCCCAAGGTCGAAAAGCAGGAGAAGAAGAAGACTCCTAAGGGTCGGGCCAAAAAGCGCATGCTCTACAACCGTCGGTGTGTAGATCACACTTCTAAAGCGTAGACATATGCTTATATGTTAAACTACTTCAGCTTCGTGAACGTTACCACCCTTCCTGGTGGCAAGCGCAAGATGTAAGTCCCCCATTTCCCTCGAATCTGGCTCAGAGCGATCTATGCTTGCAGAGATGCTCTTGGAAGATGATACACACCTTTTTGCATAGTTCACACTGAAACATTGTGTTGATAAACATTCATCTTGTCTTTCGCTCCTATCTGACTCTAAAATACTTCACCTGTCACTTTCCAAACCGCCTTGCTAACCTCTCTTACTTCAGGAACGCGAACCCCGAGTCCAAGTAGCCTCCCTCCGATGCCGCCGACATACGCAAGACGCACTATGCGTTCATACTATAGCCCGCAGCTACGGAGCGCTTGAAGGAGCCGGGAGAGTCACAAATCGTCGTCGCACTCGCACTCGTTCTGTATCCATGCATATCTTTATCGCACTCTCATGCACGCTCCGGTTTCTACTTCTGTGACTAGGATGTACGCGTCCACACCTTCTGTATGATTATGGCCGCGTGTTGTCACGCATCATCCACGGGCTCTTGGAATTAGAATGTGAAAGGTACAGATCATTCCGGGATACGTGTAAACGCAGCCAGCTACGCGGGTATAATCCTTGCCGCAGCATCGATAAGTGCAGCTCCTGCGGTTGGTGGAGACTCGCGGGTCGTCTCCAGGTAGGCCGTCCGCAAACGTTCAGTCGCCAGATCGTCCAATGACGCAAGCGCACTTGCAGTGGGCGAAGCTGTCTGCGAAGGTGAATTCGAAGCCTTGGGCTCCGTGACAAGTTTTTGCGTACACTGCAGGGGACACAGCATGAACATGTGCCGAGTCGGTAGCACAGTAGACGGAAACGTACCAGTTTCACGCCGAACCACGATCTAAGCGCAAGGCCAGTGGGAACGGTGTCTGCCGGACTGATGCCGTCTTGCTCGTCGTCATCTGTCATGTCCACAGATTGCAAAAACATCTTCAGCGCGAGTGGAATATCAGGCGTAAGGTAGGCGGTCTCGGCAAAGTGGAGGACATGCAACGGGTTTTGTGGCGCCAGCAGCAGCGCATGCGAGAGCGCTTGCAAGGCATGTGTATACCTAGAATGACTGTTAGGGTTAACAAAGCCTTGACAAAGTAGGTACGCACTGTTGACAAGAGGAGTATATGTCTGCGAGCTCTAGCCAGGCTTCCACCTCGGTGTAAAATGTGTCCAACATGGCGCACAACTCTTCCACCGCCTGGTCTATCTTCCCTTTTTTCCGCAAAATACCGGCTTTCCTTCGCCAAACTGCCTGTACTACAAGGTTAGGCGTGCGCCAATATCGAGGGCAGATAGTACGCACGGCGTTCGAGGTGTCTGTCGCCAAGAGAGTATTGTAAAAGGCTAGAGCGTCATCTGGAGATTCTTTGACTTCCATCAGGATGCCCGTAAGGCAATCTACCCGAGGCGACTCGGAAAACTTGGAAACCAGGATTTCGAGGCATTGCTGGACACACTATTTAGAGCCCCTAGCACACGTACAAAAAGAACAGCGTACTTGTGCAGTCGTGGTATCTCCCTCATCTAACGCGGCCAAGAACAATCTCTCGGCAGCCTCCCATCCTGCGATTTGCCAGCATTAGCGACGACAGAACGAGACGCGACGGATGTTGGAACTGACCAGTTTCTCCTTTCGGCGGAAACGTTCCCGAGCGTAGCTGAACGAGACTCAATTTCAACGTCTCCTTCGACTTGATACTAGATCGCGGCTGGTATGCGCCGAGTTTCTGGAGGGCAGCGGTGAACTCCATTGTCGTCCAAGGTTGAGGTGTGCTGTCACGTGTCTCCCCCGCGTCCTAGGAGTGATGGCGGCGGGGGCGCACGTTGGGATGGCGTTTCGCGTCTCTCCTCCCGACTTGCACGTGCATCCAAAGCGTTCGCAGCCCGTAGGGATCGTCTGTTCTACAGTCATCAGGCATGATGAATGCGCTGTAGGCGATAGCAAATACATACAGCGGTGCCCGCTAATTTCCTGAAGACAGGCAGGCCCTCGACACTATTCGCGTCAAGAATATCTCTCTGCTGGCCTCATTCACTGACGGTGCACAGTGGTCCTCGGAGCCATCGAAAGCCAAACTACAGCCTATCGAGTTGACAGTTGCGATTAACCATTTAGTTGCCCCCACTGCTCTTACGGATGATCTTGCTCATTCCATCAACTATTCGACTGTTTGCAAGACCGCTATTACTGCAGCGCAGTCCCAAGACTTTTCATCATCAGAGGATTGCGTACACCACGTCATATCTGCGTGTTTGACGGCCCACAAGGGAGTACAGGCTTTGGCTGTTACCCTGCGGCGTCCGAAAGCCCTCCTGCAGCCTGCATATATCGAGCTGATCTCTTCGAGAAGGCGAGGCTTACCTGCTAGCACTGAGGAGCTCTCTATTCGCAACGTTGCAACGCAACCAGTTGTCGGCATCAACGCCTGCGAGCGCGAACAAGCCCAACTTGTCTGCTTCGACATTACGATGCAGAGAACAAGCCAAGATTACAAACTGAATGCACCATTTCCCTTCCGCGATGTAGCCTTGAACGTCGTCGATGTCGGTACATGCTAGCAATTTCTGGAGTAAATGTACCTTATCTAGCCTCTAGGCCGTCAACCTGACAAGCTTCCTCACGCTGGAGGCTCTTGTTTCCGCGGTAGCAGACAAGGTCGCATCGCTCACTACGGACCTCGATTCAGTTACTGTGTGTGGCGGCAAACCGAATGCGCTGTCGTGCGCCGAGGCTGCAGAAGTCAAGATTACGCGAACGGCCAAAGAGATATATGCACGGACTACACCGGCAGCGATGCCAACCAACGGTGCGAAATTCGGTAACGCATGATTTAGGGGTGGTCTTGACATTGAATGTTGCAGGGGCGCATACAGCCGCACTTGCCCTCGGCTCTAACCTGGGCGACCGCTTCGCCAACATCGAGCTCGCCCTTCGCTTACTGGAAGCACCTAAGCGCGATAATTTTCCAGGAAATGGGGACGCATATATCAGCGTCGTGGACACCAGCTTTTTGTACGAGACGGAGCCAATGTACGAAACAGACCAACCCAAGTTCGTCAACTGCACCTGTCTGGTGCGTCAGATCTTATCACGTCTTCTGGCACCGCTGAAAAGCATCTAGGTGCGCACTAGCGTTGAACCGGTTGCTCTGCTCAATTTCCTCAAGTATATTGAGAGGACCGTGGGCCGAGTTGCATCTTACAGGAATGGTCCGAGAGCGATAGACTTGGACATCCTGACGTATGACGATCTGATCATTGACACGAGAGACGTGTCTAGCCGGAAGAGCTTGGACAACCTTCAAGGCCAACTCGTGGTTCCTCACCCCAAGATGCTCGAAAGGGAATTCGTCCTACGACCGCTGAACGAGTATGTATTACAGTTTTGCGATCAGTTCTCTTTTGATTAAGGCTCCTTAGTATCGTCCCGGACTACGTGCACCCGAGTCTGAAACGTACCATTAACGGACTCTTCATGAGTTTGATGGCGAGCCTCCCTCCTGATAACCCGGCCATGCATCGTGTCATTCCATTCCCGCAATATCCGCTTCCGTCAGGCAGTGAAACCGAAGCGAAGGATTTGCCGGTAGTTCCCCCGACTGCCACGCATTGGACTTTCCCCTCTGCTTTCGCTTCAACGCCTCGGAGCAGTCCTCAGAAGACTTACGTAATGGCGACATTGAACGTTACACCGGATTCTTTCTCAGATGGGTCGGTCAACAACACAGTCCCTGAGGCCTTGACGTATACGACCTCGGCCGTTGCTCACGGTGCGGACATCGTCGATGTCGGCGGATACTCCACTCGCCCCGGAGCGCAGTTCGTGTCGAGCGAGGAAGAAGCAAACAGGGTTGTTCCAGTAATTCACGCCATCCGAAACGCAGCTCAGAGCGCAAATGTCAGCGAGAAAGTCGCTTCTCAGACCCGACAAGCGCTCATCAGCATCGACACCTTTCGTTGGGAGGTTGCAGAAGCCGCCGTCAAGGCTGGTGCAAACTGCATCAATGACGTTCACGCCTTCACAGGCCCTGCGTACCCGGTTGACGAGGATGGTGATGCTCATCTTCGGAAGCTCCGCGAGGTTGCACGATCCCTTGCAGTTCCGGTCGTCCTCATGCACTCTCGTGGCGAAGCGTCGGCAAATAAAGACTACTCAGCGTATAACTACGCTGCAGATGCTCGTGGGCGAGGGGCAATCCTGGAGTCTGTCCGTGTTGAGCTAGGCAAGAAGGTCGACGCTGCCGTCAAGGGGAAGGGTGGTCTCAGGCGATGGCTTGTCATTGTCGACCCGGGGGTTGGATTTAGCAAGACGCTTGAAGGCAACCTAGAGCTCTTACGAAACTCGTCTTCCATTATCGATCCCACAAAGACCGTAGGACGTGAGGGCGCTCCGAATCCGCTGGCAGGCTACCCGATCCTCGTCGGTGCTTCGCGAAAATCGTTCCTCGGACTTATCTTGTCGCAGAAAGACACATCGGGGACGTATGAAGGCCGAGAAACGAAGCCCATAGAGCGGGGCTTTGCCACTGCCGCCGCGGTAGCTTGCGCGGTGCAGCAGAATGCCACTGTAGTTCGAGTCCACGACGTACTCGAGATGGGTGACGTGGTCAGAGTCTCTTCGCTGCTCTGGGGATGAAGGATAAACTATTTCATGGATTCAACTCCTCATGACGCTAATGTAAAAGTAGATATCGATTCGTTTGCTAGAAATATGAGGGGGCTTAAGGAGCGTCGGACGGTCGCGGTTCAAAAGCAAACAAAGGTTACATACACTGAGCGTCAAAAGTAAATGAACACCCACGCCGCTCGAGATCCAGCCACTATTGCAGCATGAGTCTCCAAGCTACTTCTAAGCTTTTATTTGTGTACATTCTACAAGGTCTTGGCTTGTATATTCATGGAAAATTGTAATACATTAATTAGCAAAAATTGTGCAATATAGCCAGTTTCTAGAGCAACTTTTGCATACATAATGCGGGTTTAGATGTAAGATCTGTACCACAACCTATCAGGCTCTTTGACAATTATCCTTGGAGTCTAACTTGCTCAAGAAAATTTTAGAGAGCCTTTCAAGTATTTCACATGGAAGAAATCATGCTCTGGAAATTTGAGGAGTGGAGGTGTTACATATTCTCCCAGAAGTCCATGTGCATTCCCCGCCACTCAGACAGTCATAATATGACTTGGAATAGCACAGAAGGGAGTTGCCACTCAATACAGCTCATTAGGGAGCATGGATTTGGTTGAGAGAGGGCAATTATCTGGGGAAGTGACAAGCCAGAAAGCATTGGTCAAGTATATTGCATTCCGGCATTGTGAATCCCCACAATTATATTTCAAACCTTTATCAATCTCTTGTATACTGTCCTAAGGAGTATCATAGTTGCCTGAATTGTGCTCACCTCTATGTAGAAGAATGTTCTGGAGCACACTTTAGAGGGAACATGCAAGCAGTCCACCAAGGAAGGTGTGTATGCTTTGCCTTCTTTCTCCTGAGGTCCTGATCACAACTCTGTTAAACACTTGCAAGGCTGTTTCACTCATTAAGTGGAAAGCAGTGGAAGGCAATGTGACAGGAAGAATGCTGCCAAGATCCATTATTAGCTGGGAAGCTCTGGGGAGCATGCCCTTATGGATAGCCCTGGTTACTAGGAACAAGGGGTGAGGCATCCTACAAAAACAGTTGGGCGCATAGGCCGCGGTATTTTGGCAGAGCATAGCCAAACTTCCGTCAGAAGTGCCGGCTTGAGTGTGAGTTGAGATGTCATCCTTTCATAACATTCTTGCAATCCGCTAAAAGCTTTCAAAATCTCATATCTACTGTTCTTATGTATGATACATCTCGCACAAATATTTCTGGCATTTAAAACTTAGGGGTCGCAGAGAACGAGAGAGTCGAGTGGGTGTTCATTTACTTTTGACGCTCAGTGTATGTTTGTGCCATGTCACACTTTGTCCATTGTGACATAAGGCTAGTAGTGCGATCTACGTACATACTGGAGGGCTGAGAGTATCTCTGTCTCCCTCCCGGCCTCCGAGCAGGTTATGCACACCGCAGAGCTACCGTGACTGACTGCTGACGAAAGGATCACCCAGGTCTTTACCACCACGTGCACTCGGGCGGCCGAACAGCGCCCCGGCCATAGTGGCGCCAACCTTCTTTTTGGCGCTTATATATATAATGCCGAAGCTCGGCAAAGCGTCCGCCGAGGATCCGGATGAGCAAGCTTGCCTTCGTCCTTCGACGTCCACCTTCAGACACAGGCACATTCTATCACTATGGCTGTGGCAGCACCAACAAAGGAAGCTCTACTGTCTTTGTACTCGTCTACTCTCCGCACATCGCGAGTGTTCAGCTCATACAATTTCCGCGAATATTTCGTGAGGCGAACGAAGAGTCAGTTCCGGGAGATTCAAGTGCGTACACTTATTCATCATGTCCATGCATGGTGCTGATATGGGATACATAGGATGAGACTGACTCTGCGAAAATCTCCGCATTTTACAATGAGCGGGTCAAGGAGCTCCAAGTGCTCAAGCGCAGCGCCATCGTCAACCAGCTGTATGGCGGCTGGCGCCTTGTCATCGAGAAGGATCTTCCCAAGGGATCCCAGGAGGTCATGACAAGGTCAGACTCGTGAAGTCAGACCGCGAGAGTATGGCAGTTCCGTCGTGACTTCAAGAGTAACCCGGGAGTGTTCGTCAGGACTCGGTTGGGGAGGCGCATGCTTGTGTTCCTATGGTATCGTACGGTCGTACTGTTACCTTTGAGAACTGATGCTCTTCTACTCGGAGACGAGATGAATGTAAAACAATTCCTTGCAGGAGCACGTAAGAGCTCGCTCCAGACTTGACTGGACCTTAAAGCTCTTCTAGGCCATACGTGATCTATATAACGTGCAGAGATGGTCGCAATATGGGGAAATTTACTTCATACATGCACACGGTCAGATTTTACACCTGCTGGGTCATACTAGGCAGCTCGTACACACCTATGGTCCAATTCCGTGAGCTACACTTGGAGACACGTCGGGATTCCGACGATCATGCTGGTCTGATTTCGGAAACGCCCGTCCATCCGGATTTTTCACCTTCGTTCTCCTCTCTTCTGCCCGCCCGTGCTCCTCTCATGGCTACTTTGGATCTCAAGATCGAGTTTGGTGGAGGTCTCGAGCTTCTGTTCTCAAATCAGCGGTCCCATCGTATCTCGATCCCAGCCAAAGTTCCGACGTCCAGCAATCCTCGAGATACAGGGAAAGGCCTGGAGGAGAAACCTGCCGACATTACATATCTCATGTACTGGCTGCGGGACAACCTATTGAAGGAGCGGGAGGAGCTGTTCATCGAGAACGGGACTGTGTAAGCAAAAGTGTCCCTTGTGAATGCAATCCAGGCTGACAAAGCGGTGCGCCAGGCGACCAGGAATTCTTGTCCTCGTCAATGATACCGATTGGGAGCTCGAGGGCGAGGGTGACTACCAGCTCAAGGATGGAGATGAGATAGTGTTTATTTCAACCCTTCATGGAGGCTGAAGATTCTGCACTCAGCAGTCCAGTGGAATGCCCTCGTCGAGCTCTAAGAACATTCAGAGCACGCCTGCACAGTAGTCAGGAATCCGTATGCGTCGCGTAGGAACAACGCGACTCCTGTGGGGATAAAAGAGCAAGCGGGTATAGTAGAATGGCTTAAGTCGCGGATCGAGTGCAGACAGAGAGGAGAGACCTGGAGTGTGGCACACGGAGAGACCATTGCGGAAGTATGAAGACATGATACATGCCACAGCAAGAACAGCCATGCAGATTCAGAATACAACTACGAATGAGATTACCGAGATACATGAGAAAACAGATGCAAAGCAGACAAACGAGCTCACAGTTATGGTCGCTCATTTCTTTCGGAATCTTTCTTCTCCGGTCGTGAACGCCAGCTAAACCAACCCCAGGTACTACCATAAACAGGCGTCGTAGCGTCAGATGCAGTGGTAGTGGTCTCAGCAGAGATTGGAGCCACAACCCTAGCAGATGGGGACTCCGAGGGTGGATTTGATGCCGTACTGGCAGTAGCTTTCATCACGGCCTCGCGATTCTTGTGGGAGCCACGACCAAGACCCAGCTTTTCCCACATGCTCCTATTGTCGGCCTCGGCTTTCGCCTCCCCCAACGCCTGCTCATACGCGTGTGCTTCCTCCGCCGCCTTCAAGCGTGCTTCGAACGCAAGCCTCTCCTTCATCTGTGGATCTTGCCCGGTCTCCTTCACCCGCTCGGCCTCTTGCTGCTTCCGCGCCTCGAGGCTATAGCTGCCGGCGACAATAGCTGCGACGGTAGCACCCTGGAAGAAGATACGCGCACGGAACCAGCGGTTGAGGGCCTTTGGGTCGCCATCTCGCCCAGATTTACGGAACGCCATGTACAAGGCGAAACATGTCAATGCAGTGCCTAACAGCCGCTACGACGTTAGCAGTCGCATGCGTCCTGAGCTTGAGCACGACGTACCGATGGGCACGTACGGCTCCTCCTTGAACTTTCGCATGAGCTTGTCCTGCCATCGCTCTTGCGTGGCCTGGGGGCTGACTGTCACGAAGAGGCTCATGATTTTGAGTGGGCGATGGAGTGAACGGGAATATGAGCGTTGGAGGGGACCAATCCAGCATGCGCTCACACCGAGCTCACTCCATGCGCGAGGCGCCTAGCGGCTTGCTGAATTAGGCACTTCCGGCAGCGCGCGGGACCTGTTGACTTGTCTCCCCCGCCATGAACGGGGGAAATATCTGTGAGTGTTCGCACTGCCTCAGATGCATGCATATGGACTTATGAAAGGAATATAAGGCGCGAATCTGCTGGGAAGGGTCAAGTTCCGTGCGCCGGTGATCCAGTAGCGAGCACCGTGATCACCTTCGTTGTCGGCGATATTCCCCTCGATGATTCTAGATACCGAAAAGGACCAGACCATTGTTATTATCTATGGAAGATCAGACAGGCCTATTCGTTTTTTGTATCTGGCGGTGCATTCGCGCGACATCGTGCATTGCACTCGTGAGCTGGGTGATTGGCGAATAGATGCGGATAACGGCATACGGAATGGCATGGCGTGCAGGAATCATTTCTGTGAGGCAGGTAGAACTTCATAGTCTTCAAGAGGAGCAGGTGCAAGTGACAGGATGGGCGATGCAGCGGGGGACCGCTTGACATGTGGCTCGACCGATGACACCCGCAGGCGTTTCAGGGCAGGCTCGCAGTCGGAGCAATCGGAGCA